TAACATTTCATATTTTAAATGCTCACTCTTTCAGAAAAGTTGTCTTTCGCTGCCTCTATTCTATCCCTCTTTGTAGGAATGGCTTTCTTCGTGCTCCTTGGGTTGGATTTTGAGACCAAACTCTTGGGCGAAGGTGCATACAGGACTCTAGCAGCTGATACTGAAGGCTTTAAAGTTTGTTTGTCCAACTTCCTGGAAATGGTGGACTTCCTCAGTGGCTTACTTGATGGTAAATATTTTCTATTGGTGGAAGGGGGTTTTGATATGTTATCGTTTTTGTCGTTGGTAGACGAGACATCAGTTGTCTTACTGTCACCCGGCAGAAATCCACGGAGAGGGCTGATAGTGGGAGAAGATTCACCTGAGCACACCGTAGAAGGGTTAGAAGTTGTGTGTTTGATTCTAGTCTGCTGCTTTTGTCCAATCTGTTTAAGTACGATGGTGGGAACTTCCAAGCTGTAGATTAAAGCATTATGATACCTTAAACCATTGCTGAGCTTATTTAAAAAAAAGAGAATGAAATATTTCACTTGGTGAAAGATATTTATTGTAAATATCGAATCAGTAAGTGTACCACAATTTTCATATTAAATATTCTCATAAAAATGAAATTTGTTTAGAATTTGAAAATCAGATTAAATGAAGAAATAAAATCAAAAGTTACACTTTAAATACCAAAAAGCCAACTAACCAATTGGCTTAAAGTTTTTTTTTGTGACAATCAAGTTAGCTACAGATGCTTTTTGTTGTTCTCCTTAATTTGTCTATTGTGGTTCAAACTCAGAGGCGTATAAAAAAAATAGCATTTCAGATCTATCTTTTGTCTCCTACAAGTTTTTGAGATCTATCTTTTGTCTCCTACGAGTTTTGAGATCTATCTTTTGTCTCCTACGAGTTATTAGATCTATCTTTTGTCTCCCACAAGTTATTAGATCTATCTTTTGTCTCCCACAAGTTATTAGATCTATCTTTGTTTCCCACAAGTTATTAGATCTATCTTTGTTTCCCACAAGTTATTAGATCTATCTTTTGTCTCCCACAAGTTATTAGATCTATCTTTTGTCTCCCACAAGTTATTAGATCTATCTTGTCTCCTACAAGTTATTAGATCTATCTTTTGTCTCCCACAAGTTATTAGATCTATCTTTCGTCTCCCACAAGTTATTAGATCTATCTTTTGTCTCCCACAAGTTATTAGATCTATCTTTTGTCTTCCACAAGTTATTAGATCTATCTTTTGTCTCCCACAAGTTATTAGATCTATCTTTCGTCTCCCACAAGTTATTGCCCAAATTTCCTGTATTTAAACCATAACTTTCAATTTTTATTCTTCCGTCGTTATTTAATCATGTTCTATAATAAAATCAATCTCACCACATTTTTTAAAGTAGTTGATGAAGAACACTTTATGACGACTTAATATCACAGCCTCAACCCTATGATGACTTAATATCACAGCCTCAACCCAATGATGACTTAATATCACAGCCTCAACCCTATGATGACTTAATATCACAGCCTCAACCCTATGATGACTTAATATCACAGCCTCAACCCAATGGATAGTTTTTAAGACTTTCAGCAATTTGAATAAAGAAACTAAAAAAATGTTTAATCAAAAATTGTCTGTTGAAAATTATAAAATAAATTTTAAACAATATTATTAATTCAAGCTCTTGTTAATAAAATGTTTGCAGTTTTTTGTTGTTGCAAGTTTAAGTTACTTCATGCCATGAGGCCTGTTCTACAGATTACTTGGTTAAATGTTGAACACAGTTGATAAATACTACAAACTCACAGTTATTGGAAATATTAGCCATAGTTTCAGTTAAACAACAGATTTTAATAATGACCTTCAGAAATTAATAAACACATCCTTAGGAAACCCAACAGCCTTTAGTACATTAGTTTAATTGGAAGTAACAATTTTTAGACTTTCAGGGAGTGTGTTTCTATGGTATTCTAAGCAGCACAGTACTGTAATGTTGATAAATGTGTTGTATTATTTCTTGAGTAGAAAATACAAATAATTATTTCATCCTTTTGCCCCTGTAAAAAACTGCTCATCTAACTCGTGACATCACCTCTGTACAAGTAATTAACAAGAATGGACATTGGTTAAGATGTAGTCTTTTATTAACTACCAATACCTGTAGGTGTTAAACCATTTAAAGTTATTAGTTGTGAGGACTAGACATCGAAACCAAACACACTGCTTGCATTCCACTGCTGTATGATGTTTTTCATTCTTTCAAGCAGCACTGATTAACTGTGAATTCAACAAAAATAGTCAACTGCAGCAGGAGTAGCGAATCACAGAATAGATTAGGCTTCCTATACTTCCATGATATCATGTTTTGATGAAGAAGAGAAATAAATAAATATAAATGGATATTGACTATTAGGTGAATAATGTTCCTTATATTATTGACTGTTTGTTAGTTTCAGGGAGTTTCTCCTGATATGAAGTAAACTATGTAGAGTGAACAGACCTGTAATGTTCTGTAGCAACATCCCTAAAACGTGGCTGAGGAGTAGACAGAGGATCGTAAAGAAGTGGGCTTTTCCCTCGAACAATTTTTCTTTTGTTTACCTGTTCTGGAGTGAGACCTAGAACAAATACATTGTATAAATTACCATACAGTTCTAACAGTATATATATATATATATATATATAATAAAAAAAAAATGTGCTCATATCACCATACAATTTAAAGCTGCTATAAGACAAGTAGAGCAATATGTACACCAACTTTCTTTGTTTTACTGATTTAAAACTTCAAAAAAGTATGTTCAGTCAGCTAAAAAAACCAAAGTATTTCAGATTCACTATTAATCCTTTATTTCTGTTTGTTTAATAACTTTTATTGAAACAAACTTTAAGGATGAATTTTAAATGAAACATCTCAAAGCCAGAATTAAAAAAAATACTTTGAACCTTTATTTATTGAGGATGAAGTTTCCTGAAAAAAAGGAAACAGACCTCAGGATTGGCTTACCACTTGGCGGAGTAAGATGTAAAGGTTTTGGTCCAAGAGGAGAATTTAAGGAGTTACCAGAAGGAGAAAAAGATGGAGTAGGAGTCCCTGGCAGCAGCTGCAAAGATGTTCCCTGAATATAAAAATAATAGTTAAGAAGTTTCTAGTAAAGTTTAACAAAGATAAAAACTACAAAGTTGATGTGGCACTGATCCCTACAGCAAAATTATAAAACATTACAAATTAAGCAGTATTATTCACAGAGAAAATTACATATTACGATCAGAAGACAAGAAGGATCAGCTAAGACAATGTTTACATGTATAATGATATTTCAGTTATACATATTACCAGTTAACCTCAATTCTTGTATCTTACCCGATGATGCCAGGTAAACCTGGTGAAACAATGTCACAAAACCTTGCCTGAAATAATAATAAACAAAAAAAAAACAGTTCTAATGTTTGTGTAAAAGTATATTTTGAATAAACCAGAGGGGAGGGTGAAAATGACTAGTATGTAAATTATAGATCCAGTGACACCTACTGGATGTGTAGGTATTGTTATATATAGAAAAATAACAATAATAATAAATATATTTAATGATAAGATTTTGTCAACCACGATATGTTGAAAGAAGAATATCTACTTTTCTATTGCTGTATTAGAAATTCTTAACACACAAAATAAATATTAAAGCTTTTACAGAAAAGGAACTTCATATATGCCCCCCCCCCTCCTCAAAAAAAAATATAAAAAATTCACAAATGTAATTCCTTCTCAACACAAAAACAAAATTACTTCTGGGTGGACTCAAATCACATTCACTTGTTTATTATAAATATAACCTCAGACAGGCCATGTTACAGAACCCAATCAAAAGAATTAACGCATATTTTACCTGAACCCTAAATGGAGACGAGTCTTCTTTCATGTTTTCCGTTAATCTTTGGTGTAACTGTTTACACGACTGATGGACATGAGGCATTATTTCCTGCTTAAACTTATCGCTGGAGGGGTGGGGGAAAGAAAAGGTACCAAAGAATTAGACAAATAATAAATTACTCATGTAAGAAAGTCATGGTATCAGCACTAAACTGTTATACTGAAAACCTTATAAAACATAATATTTAATCTTCGTTCAAAAGTTACCAAAGAATCATCCATCAAGTGGTATGGTGTCAAAATTTACATCTTATATTTACTGTTGCAAGAAGGAAATCAAGACATTGATAACACAGGCCTGCGAACTTAAACTTCATAAAAGTTGTTTTGATTATAATAACGGATTTTCCAGCTATGCAGATTTCAAAAGTAATATTTTTTTTTTCTATCACGTAAGAATTTTTTACAAATTGGGAATAAATAAAACTCTTACTTAGATCAAATCATTATTTCGTTTACCCCAATGAAAATATTTTATTATGTTTGTTAGCAAAAATACAAACCAGCTGAAGAAAAGGGAAGAACATTGATGTCAAACGAATACGCATCCTCATTCATCCCGATTTTATGTGTGAAATCTACGTCATTTAGTCTAAATTACATGTTGTGGTCTTTCTTTAATGTATTGCGTTATGATATTTTGTGAAAAATCCGTACGTGATGGAGAAAAATGGACATCATTTTCGGATTCAGCACACAGAAATTACTGCAGAACATGTAAACATTTCAAGACATTAAAACCATCGCTGGCCTGTGTAACTTATGATATCGTCAGTAGATGGCACGTCTGTTTAGTGCTGGGCAATTGGGGGAATTTCCTAATTGATAGTTTTAAAATAATCATTCTCATGAGACTCGGATAGTTGAAGTAATAAAAAATAATAATAACTGGAAAATTTTTGTGAATAAACGACACTACATAAACTAGAAAAACTTTGAATTAATTAGAAAACAGTAATGAGAAATAATAACAATGTTTTCATTACTTGGATAGTTGGTAATAAAAGTAGCAATAACCAGAAACACTAATTACAATTAGTTGATTATTTTTGTAACATTAATAACCTGATAGTTTTTAACATCCTCACCAGATGGAGCATCTACTGTTATAATAAGAAAAGTCAGATGGGAATTCTTGAGTTAACTTGTTTTAGCTGTTTAAACTTGTGTTTCTTACCTAAGTGTAACAAGCTTTCCTAATAATCCTTAATTTTAAAGCCATGTTCTTTATCTCACCTAAAAGTCTTCATTTGTCTCCACAGTGCAGAATATGTTGTTGACGTCTCATTGAGAATGCTGACTACACTGCTAAGATCTGGAAGTTTACCTATAAGTTCAAGGAATTTTTGTTACACTAGATAATTCAATGAGGTGAAATTACTAAAAGCTATTTATTTCTTGATTAATGGGCAAAATTATTTGGCTGAAATGAGAGGATCATGCTAAAGACCTATGTAATTTAGTGAATATGTAAAGATGTCATTAAAAGGAACTTGGTAAAGTATTGCTTTAACCAAAAACTGCTTCTACAGAATATTAAAACTGAATATGGGAAGAGAACGAATAACAGAGAAAACCAACAGGGAATAACTTAAATATCCACAAAATATGAAAAATTATAATTTAAAAAATGAAAGAAACATTGAATGAAGAACTTAACTATATAATGAAAAATAAATAAACCATCTTTTCATGCTCACCTTTATGCAACTGTTCTATATACATGCGAAGACAAGCATTCCATACATGAATAAAACTGAAACAACAAAAGGAAAATAAAAACCTAAACCCAATTTAACAAACACTTTTATAAGGGGAATTGTTTTCGATTTCCTCCGTTCGGCACTGAAGTTGATATAAATGAGTATTACAAACTGTATAACTAAAATATTTTAATACCGAAGGTACAAAAATGTTGACAAATACACAACACAAAAATAATAGTATTAAAACTATAAAGAATTATCTATAATCTATATATAAAGCAGAGTTGTCTGTCCGTATGTCTGGCATCTTGATGAAAAGAAAATTGGAGTAGATACTAAGCATAAGTGATGTTATAGTGGAGAATATTAATATCAGAATGTTATATTGTTTAAAATATTACCAACAGAGTTCCTCGACCACGTTTAATGAAAATTGGTTCGACCAGTTCCTCAGGACAACTTGTGGAATCTCGTGTGAAACTAAGATCACATTGCCCTTAGAATTGTATAAAACCATTTTCATTGTGATATAAAATAGACACAAGTTTTGTTTGAAATGTCTTCACATTAATCTCTTGCATCTGAAAATTCAACTAATTGACTATTTTTGTGAATAAACGACAGTACATAAACTGAATAACGTTGAATTAATTAGAAAACAGTAATAAGAAATAATAACAATGTTTTCATTACTTGGATAGTTGGTAATAAAAGTAGCAATAACCAGAAACACTAATTACAATTAGTTGGTTATTTCTGTAACATTAATAATCCCTCTCTACTATTGAAATAACTTAAGAACAATATCTAAGTTTCCATGTTACCATGTCTGAAGACACCAACGAACAGTAGATGTTTTTTAAAACATGAAATACAAAAAAATAACAACACAAACATGATTTGATATTAGTAGCAACGTACCTTTCAACATCAAGCTGGCCATCTTTATACACACTCAAAACATTTCTCTGTCAAAGATATAAAAAAATATGTTAAGTGAAACTTTTTCAACTTCTCCTAATTGTTTATTTAGAGGGGGGGATAATTGTTTAAAGTTCAAAATCAAAAATTGTCATAACTTTTGTAAAATTGTATTTCAACGTTTAAATCTAAGTGTGAGAAAAATACATTTGTAATATACAAAGTAATTACTGCCACAAAATTAGTGATTTGTAATATACAAAGTAATTACTGCTACAAAATTAGTGATTTGTAATATACAAAGTAATTACTGCTACAAAATTAGTGATTTGTAATATACAAAGTAATTACTGCTACAAAATTAGTGATTTGTAATATACAAAGTAATTACTGCTACAAAATTAGTGATTTGTAATATGATGAATTATCTACTAAAGACCCATTACTGGGGTCTTTAGTAGATAATTCATCATGAATTTTTATACATTTTACAACTACATAGTTACAACAATTACTGTGTTGTAACTATGTAGTTGTCAAATGTATAAAAATTCATGATGAATTATATACTAAAGACCCATTACTGTGTTGTAACTATGTAGTTGCAAAATGTATAAACATTTAATCTGGTGTATATGTTCAATATACTTAAGTACAATTAAAAGTTTTTCATTTTTCCATCTAGTTGCAATTAACCTTGAGAGATCCTGCTTAATGGAGGTCAAATGATATCTAATTTCAATGCTCGTGTGAGTAAAATCCACATTCTCCCCTCCATCACTTAAATTTTATAAAAAATATTTCAGGTGATTCTTGGAATACAAAACTTTTTTTCGAATAAATAAAAGACTAGAAGTAAATACACATAAAAAGAGTTTATCATAAACAAGAAAAAAACAAACAAGACAGAGAACTAATAACATAATAATATTAAAGAAATACTTTTTTGAAGATCTCTCCCTGCTGAATCTACTAGCTGTTTGGGAATGTGAACAGGCATAAAACTCCCGTCGAGACGGTAGGTAATACCGCCCTTTCCTGCACGCACGGAGTTAAGAATTTCCCATTGATTGTCTTCACTGCTTTTGAACTCTTCAAGTTTGTTCCAGTATTCTTTTACCTATTTAAAGTTTTATTACTGGTAAAATCAAGGATTAGTAAACTGTAATTCTAATCTGGAACAGGTTTGTGTAATGGACAATTATACATAAACATGAAATTATATGACTGTTACATTAACAAAATTATTTTACCTACCTTTTAATTGGCTATAATTTTGTGAGGATTCTATTTCATATCATTAAAATTAAACTTAATGACTGGATTAAGATAAAGTAGGTTAAAAGAAAACACCAAAAACTATTAATATTTATTCTTTCCAAATAACTTGTGTTTACTACACAACTGAATGTCTAATTTTTACTACAGTATAAGCTAAAATTAAAAACATGTGACTAATTACTGTGTAACATCTTGTACCTTTTGCAACTGTTTCATACGACTTTCGGAAAGCTTCAAGAGACGGTTCTCGGGTCCAATGGAATCATCAACTTCAATGTCACTAACAAACAAGTAAATGAACATTATTGAAGGACAATCACTTAAAAAAATAAAACAGTAGGTGAAACTATATTATAACAACCGTAGTCTAGTCACATGCTGAAGGTCAAACTATATTATAACAACCGTAGTCTATTCACATGCTGAAGGACAAACTATATTATAACAACCGTAGTCTCTAGTCACATGCTGAAGGTCAAACTATATTATAACAACCATTTGACCTTCAGCATGTGACTAGACTACTACATTGTAACAACTGTAGTCTAGCCAAATAATGTCTAAAAGGGTATGAAAAGGGAGTGATGGTAACTTTGCATACACATATTGATCTCATTTAAATTAAAAGTTTTCCATCATTAGGGCAATAATAGTAAAAATTATAGTTGTTTTCAGCTCACTTTACTTGGCAGGTACAAGCTGTAATAGAAACCCATATTCCACTTTCATTTTGAAAACAAATTACCTTGTTGGAGTAAGGATTTTGAGAACTTAAGTTGTTACTCATAAAATCAAAAATTTAAATAGTAATTTATCAGAAAAATACTTGAAAGTTACAGTAATAACCCATAATCTAATAAATAATATGCTTGCATCTGTCTGTCTCATATATTTAGAAAGGCCTTTGTCTGAGGAGTCCAGATTGTATATTAACTTCTCAATTCAGAATCACCTTACCTTTTTTTTGTTTAGTCAAACATTTCAAATCAATGAGTAAAGTACACAATGTCATTGTCACCATGTGGCAACTGGCTTTGATTTCAACTTTTTTATTTTTTGCAAATTATTTCACACAAAATACTTAACCCATGTGTAATTTCCTAAAATAAAATCAACATTACACTAAATACAATTCCTATGTAAACACACATTCAGATGTTTCTGTATATTCAGCTAAGTTTGCCTTCATTACAACTTTGGTTCATTTTATAGACTGCTATAAACATCTTTTAGCTACTTTTTTTCTTTACTGCAGATTTTATTGCCCATTTTGGTGAGTTTCTTTGTTTGAACACCTCGTAAAACTGTGTTGCACACTGAAAGCTCATAACCATTTTATACTCTTTACGCTGTTATAAATACCATTACTATATTATTCACTTTAGTTGCAGTTTTATTAAAGTACATGTACAAGAGTTTTTTTGTCTGACTATGTAAAATATTTTCAAATAGACTAGTATTTATCAATCTCACACAATGCCTGCAAGAAAACATAGCTTAAATGGTGTGTGTGAAAATGACAGAATAAGGAAAATTCAAGGGAAGGGCATGAAAACTACCACAAATGTTTTGCGGGTCACAGCTAGTAGGTTAATACATCATGACATATCTCATATATCATCAGAATCTGGGTAACTGAAGCATTTAGCACAGTATATATTATTTATATATAACAATGTAATATCACCAAATGTCTGGAAGAGTTTGGTTGACTGGAAAGAATTTTAAAGAAAGTGCATCGGTTAAAACATTTACTTGACAATAACTAAACAAATTATATATCAATTATCTGGTTTCACTCTAATAGTTAGATGTTTTTCGTGCCATGCAGTGGACCCATAGAGGGCTAAGAGAATTAGAAGTATACCTTGTCTCTGAAACAGTTTTCCACTCTTTTTGGATCTTTTCTTCCAGTTCTTGAATTCTTCTTTTTAGTTCTCGATTTTTTGTAACTAGCTGCCTAAAAATGAGAGAAAGTGTTCTTTAAAAATAATATTAATAACAATAACTTGTGTAAGAATGAGTGATAAATACCTGCAAAAAGCTTTATTATACTAAATATAAAATAATATTAATAACAATAATTTGTGTAAGAATGAGTGATAAATACCTGCAAAAAGCTTTATTATACTAAATATAAAATAATATTAATAACAATAATTTGTGTAAGAATGAGTGATAAATACCT